TGGCCAACATGGCAGGTGCCTGTAATGCCACCTACTCAGGAGGCAGAGGCAGGAGAATCGCTTGAGCCTGGGAGGCGGAGTTGCAGTGAGCGGAGATCTCGTCACTGCACTCCAGCCTGGGCGACTGAGCAAGACTCCATCTCAAAACAACAACAATAACAAATCCCAAAAAACAGAGGCAGGCCTGGGCTGGCGGGTGTGGGAGACACCCATCACAGCCCCACTTCTGGTCTGCCCGGCGTTGGGAGTCCTGGCTGGGTGTGGGATGACTCAGCCGCAGGCCCCCCGCTTGGGCTTCCCACACCAGGGGGACAAAGCTGTTTGAGAACACTCTTCCTGGGTTGTGCCCTCTGAGCCCCTCTGTGTCCCCAGCTCTTGGCACAATGGTAAACTGCTGGTTAGGGTTTGTTGAATGAATAATAACACCAACAGCTATTTGAAGGCTTCCTGAGAGGCAGGCAGGGTGAGCTGTCTCTTACCTTCACATAAGGCCCCAACAAGGTCAAGGTGGTCACTTGATAAAGACCATCAAAGCTTTGCTAAGGAAAATCATTTTCTCAGGGTCACAGGGTGACTGACTGGTGAGTGGTGGAGATGAATTTCAAAACTCATCCTCAGCTGGGCGCGGTGGCGCACGCCTGCAATCCCAGCACCCTGGGAGGCCAAGGCAGACAGATCACTTGAGGTCAGGAGCTCGAGACCAGCTTGGCCAACATGGCGAAATCCCATCTCTACTAAAAGTACAAAATGAGCTGAGTGTGGTGGTGGTGTGCCCCTGCAGTCCCAGCAACTTGGGAGGCTGAAGCAGGAGAATTGCTTGAACCTGGGAGGCAGAGGTTGCAGGGAGCTGAAATAGCACCACTGGACTCCAGCCTGGGCAACACAGTGAGACTCTACCACAAAAAAACAAAAAACAACAACAACAAAAAAAAAAACGCTCAAAAAATACCATTCTCAGCCAGGTGTCATGGTTCATGCCAGTCATCTCAGTGTGTTGGGAGGCCAAGGTGCGAGGATCACTTGAGCACACGAGTTTGAGGCCAGCCTGGACAACATTGTGGGATCCTGTCTCTACAAAACAATAAAGTATTAGTTGGGCATGGTGGCGAGCACTTGTGGTCCCAGCCATTTGGGAGGCTGAGGTGGAAGGATTGCTTAAGCCTGGGAGGTAGAGGTTGCAGTGAGCTGAGATCATGCCAATGAACTCCAGCCTGGGCGACAGAGTGAAACCCTGTCTCAAAATAACTAGGCTGCCCACAGTGGCTCATGCCTGTAATCCCAGCACTTTGGGAGGCCGAGGCAAGCGGACCACCTGAGGTCAGGAGTTCGAGACCAGCCTGGTCAACATGGTGAAATCCCATCTCTACCAAAATACAAAAATTAGATGGGCATGGTGGCGGGTGCCTGTAATCCCAGCTACTCGGGAGGCTGAGGCACAAGAGTAGCTTGAACCTAGGAGGTGGAGGTTTCAGTGAGCCGAGATCACACCACTGCACTCCAGCCTGGGCTACTGGGCAAGACCATCTCAAAAACAAACAAACAAAACCACAACATAGCTGTGTGCCCATGTGCACACAGAGTTCCATGAGTGCGCAATATACACATACACACAATACTCACACACACAAACACAATCACAATGCTGAGAAAAATGCTCACTTAGGTCACGTGGGCTGCACTAACCCTACACAGTCACAGTCTAGTTATACACCCACAGTCCCCAGCACACTGGCCTCTCCCGGTCCCATTCTCTCTCCCCTCCTGGGTGCTTTGTGTCCCTGGGTCCATCCCTAATCTCAGTAGTCTCGGAGCTGTCCTTCCTCTTCCCGTCCGTCCATCTACACTGCCAAGGGATCCTCCCAGGGAGGCCTGAGTCCTGTTCCTCCTCCCTGCCTTTGATGGAGAGAGGAGGGCTGCTGACTCATGCTCCCAGGGCAGTTCCTTCCATAGCTCCTCCCACCCTGGAAGCCGCCCCTCACATCACACACTGTGGGTGATTCCTCACCCCAAGGCACCTGGCCGGCGAGCAGAATCCCTTTAGGACCCTGCTGTGGGCTTGGCCCGTGGGCGCTAGCTGGAACCACAGTCAAGCAGGAGGCTGGGTGTCAGGGGAAGGTGATTGAGGCTTATCCAGCACCAGTACAGATCCTGGGGACCTTAGTCCCCTCATTAGGAGGGAGTCACAGTCACTGCCAGCCCTACCTGCTCCTGATGCAGGAGCACAGAACCAATGCTGGGATTGCCAGGGCTCATGGCTCCTAGTGGCATTGGTGGGGAAACTGAGGCCTGGGCCCAGGCGTGGTGGCCTGTAATCCCATAACTTTGGGAAGCCGGGGTAGGCAGATTGCTTGAGTCCAGGAGTTCAAGACCAGCCTGGGCAACATAGTGAAACCCTATCTCTATAAAAATTAGGTAGGCGTGGCAGCAGGTGTCTGTAGTCCCAGCTACTTGGGAGGCTGAGGTGGGAGGATTGCTTGAGCCCCAGAGGTGGAGGTTGCAGTGGTCCGAGATTGTAGCACTACACTCCAGCCTGGGTGACAGAGCGAGACCCTGTCTCAAAAACAAAAACAGCCGGGCATGGTGGTTCATGCCTGTAATCCCAGCACTATGGGATGCCAAGGGGGGTGGATCACCTGAGGTCAGCAGTTCAAGACCAGTATGGCCAACATGGTGAAACCCTGTCTCTACCAAAAATACAAAAATTGGGCGCAGTGGCACATGCATGTAAGCCCAGCTACTCTGGAGGCTGAGGCATGAGAATCGCTTGAACCTGGGAGGTGGAGACTGCAGTGAGCTGAGATCATGCCACCACACTGCAGCCTGGGTGACAGAGCAAGACTCCATCTCAAAACAAAAACAAAAACAGATTAAAAAAAAAAACAAAAAACAAGAAAGAATCTGAGGCCTTGAAGGGATGGGGGTTTGCCTGAGGTCTCACTGGGCATGGGAGCAGAGGGGACTTCCTGAAGTTAATTGTCCTTGTGGTGACAGGAAGCGAGAACGAAGGAGGCTCCAGGAACTAAAGCCTGCCTCCCCCCCTCCACCGCCGCAACTCCCCTGATGCCGAAACAAGACGCAGGCCTGCCAGGCATTACCCTTCATTAATATGATATAACTTCCTGAGTTCCCTCTGGTCTGTCTGGGACCAGACAGCATGAGACAGGACCACATGTGGCAGGACCTGGAGCCCCTATACACAAGCGCCCCCAGAGTGGGGCTGTGGGGTCCCTCAGGGAGCCATGATGGGGCTGGAACTTGGGCGTCCATCCTGCCGGAAGCTGTGGATGCCAGCTGGACATGGGTGATAGGGAGATGGAAGGGGCAAAGGGGTTGTGGTCACACAGCAGGGGACAGAGACGGCATGACTGCAGCTGCCCACAGTCCAGTCCTTGGGTCGGACTCGTCCCTCCTGGCCTTGAACATGAGACATATGCACAGGCTCTCTCCTTGTTACAAAGATCAACCTTGGGCTGGGCGCAGTGGCTCAGGCCTGAAATCCCAGCACTTTGGGAGGCCAAGGTGGGCGGATCACGAGATCAAGAGATCAAGACCATCCTGGCCAACATAGTGAGACCCTGTCTCTAATAAAAATACAAAAATTAGCTGGGCATCGTGGCACGTGCCTGTAGTCCCAGCTACTCAGGAGGCTCAGCCAGAAGAATCACTTTAACCTGGGAGGCGGAGGTTACAGTTAGCCAAGATCATGCCACTGCACTCCAGCATGGGTGACAGAGCAAGACTCCGTCAAAAAAAACCAAAAAACAAAGATTAATTTGGGATGCGCAGCAGGCCAAGGCTGGCCACCAGCCCTATGAGGCCTGTGCTACCCCATGCACAGAGGAGGAGGCTGAAATCTATCAGCTCCCTCTCCTAGCCTGGGAACATCACACAGCAAGCAAAAAGATGGCCAGATGGAAACAGGAAGCCAAGTGGAATGGATTCCAGACTGCCTCCCTGATAAACAGCTCAGCTCAGGGAGGTTCTCCAAGGTTTTATCTGGCCCTTTTGGGCTCGGAGGCTGCCTGGAAGCCACAGACTCCATGGGAAGGGAGACCCGTGAACACTGTGAGGGCAGCGGGAACACGTGATCTGTCGCACTGGCCCCAGGCTACAACTGCAGTGGCCTGGCTGTGTTTGGGGAGGGTGGGAGAGACATGGCAGCAATGCTGGAGCTGTAGACAGCTTCCTGTGGTCCAAATAGGACTCTTGAAGGTCAAGGTCACCAGAGCTTAGCCTGGGGCCTAGGGGTGAGTAGAGGGGGGCCCAGTGCTACCCTTTCATGATGTGCCGTAGGAATCACCCAAGCCTGTCCCTGACACCTGGACACCAAATTTGCCCCTTCATGCTTCCTTCTTGGGTATCTGCAGAGCAAGCTGGGTGCCCAGGGACAGGCTCGAGGGACTGGCATGCCTTTCTCTGGCCAAGCTTCCTTCCTCAGCTTTCTGGAAGGAGTGAATTGTGTCCCGGGACCAGAACTCTCAGTGGTGTCTGGAAAATACTACATCAGGGAGGAATTTCCTGGTCATTTCTCAACTCCCAGGCAATGTCCTAAGCCCCGGAGCCTGGAGCCCAGAATAGATCCCAGAGGCCACCCTGAGACAGGCCAGGCCAAGGCCACCCCATTGAAGTCTGGTCAACCGTGCCCTTCAGGTCCCTCCTAGTGGCCCCCTACTACCCCAGGAGGCTCCAAGCCTAAGTGATGGTGACTCAGGAATTCCTCACCCAGGCCAGCGAGGGAGACACTGGGGGAGGGAGGAGACCCGTGTGTGGAGAGGTGGCAGGTGGCTCAGTGATGGGAACCAAGAGGATGTGGGAAGGAGGGTGGAGGCAGCGGCAGGAGATGTACGTCCTGGGTCAAGCAGGCAGACGGGGAGTGGGGAGCGTGCCAGGGGGGCCCCTGGAGAACAGTGAGGGAGGGCGGGGCAGAGAGAGGAAATGAAAAAGCTGGGGTGAGCAGGCAAGCTGAGGAGGGTGGGAGGGAGGGAGGGAAAGAGGGAGGGAGGAGAGAAGGAGAAGCTGACACACAGACTGACACAACAGCGAGAGACACGCGGAGCAAAGCGAGCGAAGGGACAGACGTGCACGAGGGACAAGACAGCCGGGGCAAGACTGGAGAGGTGCGGTGAGGAGGGGCTGGGGAGGCAGCGGCCGAGAGCAGGAGCGGGCAGAGGGTGTGGGGTTAGAGGGAGAAAGGTGCTGGGAGGACAAGGACAAAGGAGGGGACAGACACATGGAGATAACAGCAAGAGACAGAGAGACAGAGAGGGAAAAAACTGGCGATGCCTGGATGTTCTCTGTCTCTTTAATCGCAGAGACAGACAGGGCTAGAGAAGGAAAGCAATAGGAGGTGGGGGGTGCCGGCACAGTGGCTCACGTCTGTAATCCCAGCACTTTGGGAAGCTGAGGTGGATGGATCACCTGAGGTCAGGAGTTCGAGACCAGCCTGACCAACATGGTGGAACCCCATCTCTACTAAAAATACAAAAATTAGCTGGGTGTGGTGGCTGGTGCCTGTAATCTCATCTACTACGAAGCCTGAGGCAGGAGAATGGCTTGAACCCAGGAGGCGGAGGCGGAGACTGCAGTGAGCCGAGATCATGCCATTGCACTCCAGCCTGGACGACAGAGAGAGACCCTGTCTCAAAAAAAAGAAAGAAAGAAAGAAATAAGAAAGAAATAGGAGGGTTGGGGAGAGACACACACAGAGAGATACCGGAGAAGCTAGAGGGGAGAGGACCACACAGGCACACACAGGAGAACCGGGGGTTGGCTGGGAGGCCCCAGCTGCCGTAAGGACGGGCCAGCAGGGACATCTGAGTGGGCTGGGTGGTGGGGGCGGCCCTGACTCCCTCTGACCCTCACCTCCCACCTTGGGAACCCTCCAGCCCAGACCTGGGATGGCAGATTCGTGCAGGAACCTCACCTACGTGCGGGGCTCGGTGGGGCCGGCCACCAGCACCCTGATGTTCGTGGCCGGCGTGGTGGGCAATGGGCTGGCCCTGGGCATCCTGAGCGCGAGGCGACCGGCGCGACCCTCGGCCTTCGCGGTGCTGGTCACCGGGCTGGCGGCCACTGACCTGCTAGGCACCAGCTTCCTGAGCCCGGCCGTGTTCGTGGCCTACGCGCGCAACAGCTCCCTGCTGGGCCTGGCCGGGGGTGGCCCCGCGCTGTGCGACGCCTTCGCCTTCGCCATGACCTTCTTCGGCCTGGCGTCCATGCTCATCCTCTTCGCCATGGCGGTGGAGCGCTGCCTGGCGCTGAGCCACCCTTACCTCTACACGCAGCTGGACGGGCCCCGCTGCGCCCGCCTGACGCTGCCCGCCATCTACGCCTTCTGCGTCCTCTTCTGCGCGCTGCCCCTGCTGGGCCTGGGCCAGCACCAGCAGTACTGCCCCGGCAGCTGGTGCTTCCTGCGCATGCGCTGGGCGCAGCCGGGCGGCGCCGCGTTCTCGCTCGCCTACGCCGGCCTCGTGGCGCTGCTGGTGGCGGCCATCTTCCTCTGCAACGGCTCAGCCACCCTCAGCCTCTGCCGCATGTACCGCCAGCAGAGGCGCCACCAGGGCTCGCTGGGTCAGCGGCCCCACACCGGAGAGGACGAGGTGGACCACCTGATCCTGCTGGCCCTCATGACGGTGGTCATGGCCGTGTGCTCCCTGCCTCTCACCGTGAGTCGCCTCCCGAGCTGGGGGGAGTGGGAAGAGGAGGAGGGCAGCGAGGTGGGTTGTGCCCGTGTCGCAGATGGGGAGGCTGAGGCTCAAAAGAAGTCAGACTTGACAGGCCTGTAGTGGCTTAGGCCTGTAATCCCAGCACTTTGGGAGGCCGAGGCAGGCGGATCACCTCCTGAGGTCAGGAGTTCCTGACCAGTGTGGCCAACATGATGAAACCCCGTCTCTACTAAAAATACAACAAACAAACAAACAACAACAAAAAAAACGGCGTGGTGGCACATGCCTGTAGTCCCAGCTACTTGGGAGGCTGAAGTAGGAGAATTGTTTGAACCCCAAACGCAGAGATTACAGTGGGCCGAGATAGTACTACTACGTGGGTGACAGAGTCAGACTCCAAATCAAAAAAAAAAAGAGAAAAAAGAAAGGTGAGGCGGGAGGATCACTTGATCCCAGAGGTTTGAGACCAGCCTGGGCAACACGGTGAAACCCCGTCTCTAGCAGATATTTAAAAATTAGCCTGGCATGATGGCCTGTGGTCTCAGCTACTTGGGAGGCTGAGGTGGGAGGACTGCTCTGGCCTGGGAAGTTGAGGCTGCAGTGAGTTACACCACTGCATCTCAGCCTAGTTGACAGAGCAAGACCCTGACTCAAAACGAAAACAAAGAAAACAAAAACAGATCAGACGGAGGCTTGGTCCTGTGTCAGACAGCTCCTGGCTTTCTGGAGAATTCTTTCAGCATCTGGCTTCTTCTGACACCTTATCACCCAGCTTAGGCATCTGGAGCCCCCCATAAGCAAAAAGCATCCACCATCCTTCCCCTACCCCTGTAATGACAAGATCACCCTCACTGAGCGCTTCTCGATGCCTGCCTGTGCTTAGTGGCTTACAAATACTTTCTAAGATAATCTTCAGAATGACCACAGACACCCATTCTACAGCATTTGGCAGGAAACGGAGAGAACGCTCTCTCCTGTCCTCACTTTTACAGATGAGGGGCAGTATCTCTTGCCCAGAGTCACACAGACCTGGGTCTTGATCCTGGGTCCTTCAAGTGCATAGCCTGATCTCCCCCCACCTGGTTCCCCTCTGCCTCAGTGCAGGCCCCACCCTTGCCTCCACACCTTGGTTTCCTGGGGGAACTCCCGTCCTGCCCCTTCCAAAGGGAGCGGCACACACCCCATTACACACTCAATGTCTGTGACACCTGGTCATGCCACCTTTCTTCTGAGCCTCAGTTTCTCTTTCTGTAAAATGCAAGAGCCCAGGCTGGATTGAGGGGGGTCCTTACATATTTTTTGGGGGTTACCTTGACTCAGAGACTCAGATGCTGTGGACAGATATACACAGGCATCACCACAGCTCTGTGGCAGTTTCACGGGGGCCCAGGAATGTTACACTCAAAAATCTATGTCGGGGCCTCCCTGCTTCTGAGGGTCGGGGGACACACGTACCCAGCCTCTCTCCCTCGCCCCTTAAGCATCTCTGGCAATTTCCTGGGGCTTTCTCTTCTTGTGTTCCCCGGATGTTACTTAGTTTTCATCTTATCTTATTTCCTTCCCCTCTGCATGCCACCCCTCCCTCATCCCTGCCAGTAAGCAAGTGGGAGGAGGGAGGCAGGGTGGGGAGACGGTGGGCTCCTGGGTGCTCCTTGACACCCTCACCCTACCCTCAGATCCGGTGCTTCACCCAGGCCGTCACCCCTGACAGCAGCAGCGAGATGGGGGACCTCCTCGCCTTCCGTTTCTACGCCTTCAATCCCATCCTGGACCCCTGGGTTTTCATCCTTTTCCGCAAGGCGGTCTTCCAGCGACTCAAGCTCTGGATCTGCTGTCTGTGCCTTGGGCCTGCCCATGGTGACTCGCAGACACCCCTTTCCCAGCTCGCCCCAGGGAGGAGGGACCCAAGGGCGCCCCCTGCTCCTGGGGAAAAGGAGGGGAGCTGGGTGCCTTTGTCGGCCTGGGGCGAGGGGCAGGTGGCACCCTTGCCTCTGGCACAGCAGTCCGGCGGCAGTACTGTGGGAACATTGTCCAAAGCAGAGGCCAGTGTCGCCTGCTCCCTCTGCTGACATCTTGAGCCGACCCTGTGATCTCTGGCCTGTCTTTGAGGGACAGGAGCCAGAAAATCAGGGACATGGCTGATGGCTGTGGGTGCTGGAACCTTGGCCCCCAAACTCTGGGGCTGATCAGCTGCTGTTTCTCTTGCTGCAGGGCGGTCCCTGCTGGCTCTGGGAGGAGAGTGAGGGACAGAGGAAACGTTTATCCTGGAGCACAGAAAGAATGGTTCTCTCAAAATAGCCAGTGGCCTGGCCGAACTGCTCCAGGCCCTGGATTTCCCATCCATCTCACTGTCTAAATATTTAGAAGGTGGAGAAGTTCCCAGCGGCTTCTGTACACTCAGGTCTGCTCTGCTCTGAGTACTGGCTCCCATCTACACCCACTTAGGGGGCCCAGCTGCCCACCCCAAGTCCCCAGGGGATGGCTCTCCCCTCTCCCAAGCCACTCCAAGAGCCAGCCCCTCTCTGCTCCACAAAAGCCAGGGTTCTCGGAAAAACTCCCTGCCTTCCCTTGCTGCTGGTCTCCCATCAGACTTGGGAGACCTGGCACCCCAAAGGGGCAGTGAGGGGAAGGGGAGGCTGCGGCATTGTTAGTGACAACACAGGTCATGTGCTTTGTACCAGAAGGGCCTGAGACATTCCGTCTAGCTTGATGGGCTGTGAGACGGGAACTGTGGGGGTGCAGGTGTCGGGAGACAGACGGAGAAGCTGGCAGACGAAGGCTGGGGGCTGCGGATTCCAGGGAGTGCCCCCAGAAGGCAGACCTAAGTCCTGCACCTGTCCCCAGGGTCCTGAATTAATAAACACCTCCTTACAGAGCTTGACCTCATGTTATATGTCCTTGGAGCCCTCACAAAGATTTCATTCATTCAGTCATTCAACAGATACATTGCTGGGCGCCATAGCACATGCCTGTAATCCCAGCACTTTGGGAGGCTCAGGTGAGAGGATCACGTGAGCCCAGGAGTTTGAGACCAGCCTGGGCAATAGATCGAGACCTTGTCTCTACAAAAAAATTTTTTAAATTACCTGGGCGTGGTGGTGCGCACCTGCAGTCCCAGCTCCTGGGGAGGTTGAGAAAAGAGGATCGCCTGAGCCTGGGAGGTTGAGGCTGCAGTGAGTTGAGATCATGCCACTGGGTGACAGAGTGACACTCTGTCTCAAAAACAAAAAAGAAAAAAACCTTCAAAACCCCCCAGAATTCAGCAGCGCTGACTGCCTGGTGTTGAGGACACAGACAAGCCTCTGCCCCGCCCTGGGCCCTGCCGGGGTGATTTCCAGCCTCCCATCCCCACCCCCTTCTCATGACCACTCCCTGCCCTCCGAGAGGCCCAGGATGGAGGGTGCTCAGGAGTGAGCTGACTGGCATGGAAGGAAGTGAGTAGGCATTCAGGGTGGGGGAGGGTGAGTGGGAACTCCCCCCACCCAGCCTCACTGCACTGCCTGCCCCAGTTCCCCTTTCTTTCTTGCCCCCTGTGTTAAAACAAAAAAATCCACACTTGGGGAGGGGCGTGGTAGGTGAGGCCTGAGCCTCCCGAGAGAACAACAGCCAACTCCTCCAGGGGTGGGTGGTGCTTCCTCTCACTCCATCCACAGGGCAGCCTATTATAAACCCTTTTTTTTTTTTTTTGTCTGAGATTGAATCTCTCTCTGTTGCCCGGGCTGGAGTACAGTGGCACCAACTTGGCTCCCTGCAACCTCTGCCTCCCCAGTTCAAGTGATTCATCTGCCTCAGCCTCCCCTAGTAGCTGGGATTACAGGCATGCGCCACCACCCCTGGCTAATTTTTTGTAGTTTTAGTAGAGGTGGGGTTTCGCCATGTTGGCCAGGCTGGTCTCGAACTCCTGACCTCAAGTGATCTTCCCACCTCAGCTTCCCAAAGTGCTTGGGTTACAGACGTAAACCCCTGAGCCCGGTTATAAGCCCTTTCTATGGAGGTTGGAGTCCAGGTCCAGAGATGATAATCCACCTGCCCCAGCTTATACAGGGAGCGGGTGTGGGCGTGGAGCAGGCCTGTCTATCCACTTCGGGGCACCTCGGTTTCCTTATGATCATAATCTAGTATTTAGCTTACTGGGCGGCTTTGAGGATTAAGCAGTTCCCTCTGAAAAGCAATTTAGCTCGGGCCTTGAAATCAAGCCCAGAAGAAATGTCACTACGATTGCCATTGCTGTAGCTGTTGCTATTGTTATTTGGGCAGATACAATTTAAAAACAAAGCACCTTCCAGGTGTTTTGAGTTTTTTTTTTTTTTTAATCCTCTCAGTAACCATGTTTTAAATCACCATAAAGCAGAATAAGGGTTGTCTGGGAGGCTAAAAACAGGTTAAGGTGACGGATGAATGAGCTTGGGATTTCCCTTTGGGGTGATGAAAATGTTCTGGAATTGGGTAGTAGTGAGGGTTGCTCAACAGTACCAGTACACTCAATGTCACTGAATTGTAACTTTGAATGATGAAAATGGGAACTTTTATGTTATATGTATCTTACTGCAATTAAAAAAAATAATAGTAGGCAGATCGAGGTGGTTCTGACCAGGAATCCCAGCATTTTGGGAGGCTAAGACGGGAGGATCCTGTGAGCCCAAGAGTTCAAGACCAGCCAGGGCAACATATCGAGACCCCGTTTCTACAAATAATCATTTTAAAAAAATTAGCCAGGTGCTGGCTGGGCGTGGTGGCTCACACCTGTAATCCCAACACTTTGGGAGGCTAAGGTAGGTGGATTACCTGAGTTCAGGAGTTTGAGACCAGCCTGGCTAACATGGTGAAACCCCATCCCTACTAATAATACAAAAATTAGCCAGGCATGGTGGTGGGCGCCTGTAATCCCGGCTATTTGGGAGGCTGAGGCACGAGAATTGCTTGAACCCAGGAGGCGGAGGTTGCAGTGAGCTGAGATGGCGCCACTGCACCCCAGCCTGGGTGACAGAGCGAGACTCTGTCTCAAAAACAAACACACAAACAAAAAAATAGCTGGATGTGGTGGTGTATGCCTGTAGTCCCAGCCGCTCAAGGCTGAGGTGGGAGAATCCCTTGAGGCTGCAGGGAGTGGTGATCACACCCCTGTACTCCAGCCTGAGCAACAGAGTGAGGCCCTGTCTAAAAAAAAAAAAAAAATGTGGTACTGAAAAAAAAAAAAAGTGGGGTAAGGATTTAGAAACTTTTCTAGCAGTCTTGCAGAGTAATTATTGTATTGGTTGAATTTAATAATTTTAAAAAGTTGGCTGGGCACGGTAGCTCGTGCCTGTAATCCCAGCACATTGGGAGGCTGAAGTGGGTGGATCACCTGAGGTCAGGTGTTTGAGACCAGCCTGGCCAATGTGGTGAAATTCCATCTCTACTAAAAATGGAAAAACTAGCCTGGTGTGGTAGTGCACATTTGTAGTCCAAGCTACTCAGGAGGCTGAGGCATGAGAATGGCTTGAACCCGGGAGGCAGAGGTTGCAGTGAGCCGAGATGGTCGCTCCTATCTGGCCAACAGAGCAAGACTCTGTCTCAAAAAAAAAAAAAAAAAGAAAAAAAAGAAAAAAGTCCATTTGTTAAAAGCACAACACAACAGGTTGACAGACATCAGATTGGGACCTGCCTTTGTCACCAAGCCTGGCCAGACCTTGGCCAACCCTGCGACCCCCAATAGAGGATGGTGAGGAAGGGATGGGGGGGTCTGGAGAAGAGCATTGAGGGGTGCTCACCTCCTTTCTCTGTGTTACTCCGAAGGTGGGTCATTCCTGCCCGTCTGACCTCTGAGGGCTCTCTGGGTAGCAAGGCAGAGCCAAGCATTGGAGCCACAGCCTCCTTGCCTGGGAGGGTGCCGCTCTCATTCCCATTTTTTCAGTGAGGACTAAGAGGAGGTGAGGACGCGCCACGGAAGCTGGGGTTCTCAGGCTCTTGGCCTCCAGGCCTGACATTGCACTGTTCGTTACAGACCCCTCCCCTCACCCCACCTCTGACCTGGGTGTCTACACTAACAGGCCAGGGGTTTTCAGACAATGCCCCCGTCAACCCCTTGTCCCTCGGGGGTGATTTGGAAATACTTCCTAGCTGGGATCCTGGCCCCTGACTGCCCAAGTTCATCCTCTCTGCCAGGTGCCCGGGTCCTGTCCGGAGAGCTCCATCTGGCAGTCACTGCCAGCCTTGCAAATCTCCCAGGGCTCAGGCGCCCCTGGAGGCTCCAGGCCTGTCCCCATGCTCCCACTCCCCTGCAGGCCTTGGCTGAGGCCACATCAGATGGTTGCGGTTTCCCCAGAGAAGCCATGACAGTTTGGGCCCCCACGTCTTTGCTTATTGAACTCACTCTTCCTGGAACCGTTTTTTCCTTTTCCATCTCTTGAAAACACCCTTACCCTTCAAATTCTTTCTTACGCTTTTCCTCCTTGTAGATGCAACCACTCCTCTCTTGACTGGCCCTCAGCACTTTTTTGGGTCCACGATGGCATTGGCCTAGCCTCCCATGGACATGTGTCTGCTCACCCACTTTGCAGGGTCTTGTTGAGGGCCTGTTGTATATCAGCGCTTGTCCCTGCGATGTTGGGGGATATGGCAGTGACAGAGGTGGACCTGGTCGTAGTTCAGTGGGGAAGACAGCCCTGTCCTCAGAGTGGGAAGGAAGCAGGGTGGAAGGGTGTCTAGGCAGGAGGGCTTCTAGGACGAGGGGATGGCTGAGTAGGGACCTGAGTTTTAGAAGAAAGTGAGCCAAGTTGAGGGAAGTGTTTCTGGCCAGGTGCAGTGGCTCACGCCTGTAATCCCAGCACTTTGGGAGGCCGAGGTGGATGGATCACAAGGTCAGGAGTTCGAGACCAGCCTGACCAACATGGTGAAACCCCATCTCTACTAAAAATAAAAAAATTAGCCAAGCATGGTGTCGCACGCCTGTAGTCCCAGCGACTCAGGAGGCTGAGGCAGGAGACTTGCTTGAACCTGGGAGGCGGAGGTTGCAGTGAGCCAAGATCGCACCATTGCACTCCAGCCTGGTGACAGAGTAAGACTCTGTCTCAAAAAAAAAAAAAAAAAAAAATTAGCTGGGCATAGTGGCATGCACCTATAGTCCCAGCTAGTTAGGAGGCTGAGGCAAGGAGAATCACTTGAACCTGGAAGGCAGAGGTTGCAGTGAGGCGAGATTGTGCCACTGTTCTCCAGCCTGGGCAACAGAGTGAGACTCTGTCGCAAAAAAAAAAAAAAAAAAAAAAAAAACAAAAAAAAAAAAAAAAAAAAAAAAAAAAAAAAGAAGCGTTTCTGTCGTGCTTACATTTCCAACTCGAGCATCTAATGCCTCCCTTCTTCGGCCTCCTGTAAATTCATTAACTCAACATACTTTCCCTTGAGCCTGCTCTGGTCTGGACCCGAGGCTGCCTTGTGCCCACTGGAAATATAGTGGTGACTGACATAGCCTTGGCCCTACCTCAATCACGATCCACTTGGGTGATTGAATAATCACATAAAAACGTGTTACAAAGGTTGGGTGCAGTGGCTCATGCCTGTAATCCTATTTGGGGAGGCCGAGGCGGGTGGATTGCTTGAACCTAGGAGTTCAAGAGCAGCCTGGGTGATATGGTGAAACCTCTTCTCTACAGATAATCAAAAAATTAGCTGGGTGTGGTGGTGCACGCCTAAAGTCCCATCGACTTGGGAGGTTGAGGTGGGAGGATTGCTTGGGTCTGGGAGGTTGGCGCTGCAATGAGTTACGATCATGCCACTGCACTCCAACCTGGGCGACAGAGTGAGGCCCTGTCTAAAAAAATGTGTTTTAGTAAGCAGCTGAAATACAAAATTACAAGCTGTACTAAGAGGGCACAGTGCAAAGATCTGTGAAAATATAGACAGTCA